ATATTATCGTGTGATTTTATGATGTTGACTTAAAATTATGAAGAAAATTTCATTATCATTCTCTTTCTCGTCATTTATATTAAATTCTTAAAAAAAAAAAAAAAAAATGGAAGAACCACTTTTTAAGAACCATTTTTTGTGAAGTTTAACAATATAATTTAACAATTTTCATTTTTAGACGAATTATACTTTTAAAAATTCCTAATGGAAAGAAAATCTTAACGAACTTATTAATATATTATAGAAGACGAATTGCTTTATTTAATAAAAAAGCAACATTTATATGCTAAAATTTATATTTCAAGATATGAAAATTTATTAATGGTAATCATTATCGATTATTTTAATTATTTTGTTTTTTTTTTATTATCCTTAACTTTGAAAAATATAAATGAAAGTACAAGCAATTAATATTGCAACAATAAAAAAGATCACCTTTTGTCAATACCAAATGATATTCAAAAATTACAGCTGATAAAAATTTATTTAATCGATATTGCAAAAAGTAGATATAAATTATCTAAATACTCGTTAGAAAAATTTTTTTTTTTGGATATTAATTAGCCCCCTTAGAAAAACAATGACAAGCACGTGGTAAAAATTATAAATGTTTTTTATCTTTATAACTTGATGAGCAAAAACTTATCTAAGCTAAAATTATGGCGATGGGATTTCTTGAAAATCTTACAGTTAACACAGGCATTCCATTACACATAATATTTTATTATATTGAAAATAGAAACAAGTTACTAGATATTAATAAAAGTATAAAACAAGTATTATTAATATTATTAATAGTTTATTTATTAGTATAACTAATTTTCATATCGATATAAACTCCGTGATATCACTAAAAATATTAAATAACAAGATCGTCTACATCATACTGGTGATTATCGTATATTTTAATAAAATTAAACAATATTTCATTTTTGCTATTTCCGCTTACCTGGGTGGTGATTTTAAAAGGGTTTTTCCTCCCGGTAGCCATGAGATATCATCCCTGCAAAGTTTTATTTTAATCGGGGCAAAAAAATTTAGCAATATTATCATTAGAATATACTATTGGGATAGTGAATTGCTATCGAATAGGGAAGTATGATAAAAAGTATTAAAATTATAATATAGATTATCAATTTACCTACTTTTTTCATAATTAATGTCCGTTTTTTTTTTCTTATTTCTTTTATTATTTTATTTTATCCCAAATTTAGTTCGGCTATTTTTATTTAATATGTCAACCTTCAAGCATGATTTTTAATTTACACCTCTTCAGACTTACAATATTTTTGTTTTACATGGCAAATACTGTATTGTCGCAAGTCATACGGCATACGACAAATCATATGAGATATGGCTATATTGAAAATAATCACATGAGTTATAACTTTTTTGTGATTTATTGGATATAACTTGAGTTATAACTCTACCAAATGTTTGTACCCTTAAATGTGATGATGATATTTAATTTAATTTTTTTTTACAAAAATATATTTTAATACAATAAAAACATCATGGAAAAATTTAATAAAATTGTAAGTAGAAAAAAATTTCAGGATGACAATACTTCAATTCATCAGGCACATAAAGCAAAAAGAAGGAAATTAGAAAAAAATATTACCCAACTTCCATGGCCTCCTCAGATCTGATCTCAATCCCATCGAAATCTTTGAACGTCGGGTTCGTAGACGTACTCCATTACCAACTAGTGAGACAACTTTTTACTTTTTTTACAAGAGGAATGGTTTAAATTGGTGAATTAATTTATAATAGATTTTTAATAAATATGCTGCGTGTTGAAGCCGTAAAAAACTAAAGGATACCCCATAAAATATAAATATGTAGCCTTCGAAATAATAATTTATTTTATTTGTTGATCACTTCCAAAAGTAATCGTAGTGTATGAACAGTTATAAACGTTCGTCAATAGGTAAATCAGAACTAATCATATAACGTTATACAGTATTTCCAGTATCTTCGAAGGAATAAATAATAATTCGTCATTGTTGATCTTCTTAGGTAATTTTTTTACATTGTTACGTAAGTTATGTTTATTGACAATGGCGGCGCTGATTACGTTGACGGCTGATCTTTTTAACCAAACCAAATTTAAACAATAATATAGCAGCAACAAATATGAGGTAATAAAATCGTAATCCCTCGTATAGTAATTTTGATTCGGCTGTAAAAACGCAGATTTCTCATTGAATTTTAACGCGTTTCTGCTGTTATGGAACATTTTTATAAATTTACTTTGTCTTGCTTTAATCTGCCACGATATAATAATAATTCACAGAAATTATGTCAATAGCCTCATCTTGGAAAACTTATGGTCAAAAGGAGAATCTTATTGCGTCCATCCGCAATATTATTAAGGTAATTATCCTTTAAAAGATCTTAATATTTTTAACGCAAATAAATTTTAATATGTAGTTAGGATTATTCCTTCGAAAGCATATTTAGAGAATTCATTCAAAATGGTAAGACGTTAAATGAAAATCATTTTTCGGTGCCATAATGCTTGCTTGTAATAATAATAATTATTAAATAAAAGCTGATGACGCCGGAGCTACTCGGTTTCACATAATCATCGACGGTCGTTCACATCCCTCCGACTCTCTATTTAACAATGAAATGAAGGCCTGGCAAGGTCCCGCAATCTTAATATTTAATAATCAAAAATTTGAGGAATCTGATTTTGAATCGCTAATGCAGTTACGCGTTGGTGGAAAACAAGACGATAACACAAAGATTGGGAAGCATGGATTAGGTTTCAATACGTGTTTTCATTTTACCGATGTTCCGAGTTTTATTAGCGGAGATTCTATTGCCTTTTTGGATCCTCAAGAGAAATTCTTGAGACAACGTGGAATAATTGGCCCTTTTCCAACAAATGGCATTGAGGGGCTTTCTGAAAAGGACCAGTTGGTCCCCTTTGAGGGCATCGAGGGCATCAATTTTTGTTCGACTTTTGAGGGGACACTCTTTCGAATCCCACTTCGAAGGGAAGGAAGTGAATTATCCAACAGAACTTTCTCGATAGCTGAAATCTTTGAATTGTTCTCCAATCTTAAATCAACTATCCCTTCCCAATTTTTATTTCTTCGAAATATCGAAACAATTGAAATTTCTCAAATATCTGAAACTACAGTTCCGCTTCAAATAAAACCTCTATGTAAAGTAACCATGGAGGAATTGGATGAAACCGTAAAAAATAAAAGAAGATGTGAACATGTTATCAACGGCGAATTTCCTGTTTTTCAGATAAAGACAAAACTAATTGATTATGAGAATTTAAACAACATAAAATACAATAGTTGGATTATCGCTATTGGTGCTCAACAAGATCCTGAAGACTCTCAATTACAAGAATACGCGAAACAATATCGATTACGCGTATTAGGTGGCGTTGCAGCACCACTTGAAAACCCAATAGACTTCGAAGGCAAGATGTACTCATTTCTTTTATTATCTGATACCTTCACCAATTTGCCAGTCCATCTTAACGGAGCTTGGGCACAAGGCTCAGATCGTGCAATGTTACTAATCGAAAAAAATGACATTCCGGATTTGGACCATCTGAAACTCAGTTGGAACAGGCATATTTTACTAGATTTCTTGCCAAAACTTCATTGCAAACTTCTAAAAGAAGCCATCAGATTAAACATTACAGATCCTGTCTCAAAGTTCTGGTTTTTTCCGTCCCAAAGACATCCAAAGTACGCAATTGAATACGGTTTCAAAGTACTGAAATATATGTTACAAACCGACACTATCTTGTTTAATGACAACTCAGAAGAAAACGTAAATGAACATGTGAATAATTTCTTCGAGTGTTTGTCAAGACAACGTATTGATGAGCTACGCAGCTTACTAATGGATTATTGGGAAATGGGTAAATACCTCTTTATTTAACATCGTTATTAAAATCAATGTTTTAAGAACTTATTCTTTTCTATTCTTATATAGTGAATTCGGATGATGAGTTAGAATCATTAATTCGCTTATTTCCTATTTGGCCAATATATTCGAATTCAAATTCGGAGATGCCTTTAAAACCGGCTTCGTGCGGATATTTATTGCCAACTTCCGTTTGCTGGTATCAAACAAGGAGTTCAACAATTTATTTTTGTGATTATCATCAATTTCTTACCAGACTTAATGTCCCCTTGAGAAACATATATTCTTATGTCTTTCAGGATGTTGAATTCCCTAGTGAATCCAATGACACTTACGTTCGCTTCCTAAATAGCGTACTTAATTATAATGATGTCGTTCAAGAGTTAAGGGATAAACGCTGTTTTCCCAATTCAAATACGAGGATTTTAAAGAAGATTACCGATTTATTCGACCCAAACAATTCAGTTTTTCGAATTGTGTTTGGTGGAAACAGAAACACGGACGTCTTTCTTCATTCCGGTTTATTAGAACACGCTGAGAGGTTATCAAGTATCGGTTTCAATAATAAAGTCAATGAAATAGCATTTAATAAGTGCGCTGATATGATTGAGGAATTACAAAAAGAGCCGGAACCTCCATCTGACATACGCTATCGAGGCTTCACATTGGTTGATCATCTCTATAAAAATATTACCGTTTTTAACTTGGATAACATCAGAAGAATACCAATCTTTCCAGTTGCTAAAAGTTTGGGCGAACCTTACGACACGCACTACAATCACAATGACGACACTCGTGTATTTGGTTGTTTGAATGAGGTAATCCTTCCTAATTATAGAGATGTCGCGTGGAGTCAAATGTACTTGATTGCAGAAGTTATCATACCGCCTCCACAAGTACTCCAAAGACATCCATCATTCGGAAAACCAAATGTTTCCACCGTAGTCAAACATCTCCGTTTCTTGTATAATGTCCTCCGGAATGATGATGAATGGAGGAATAGTTGGGCTGATAAATTCAAGCATGACGTTTTTGAGGTTTATAAATGGCTCGATGATGAAACCTCACATGAGGGTATCGACTTGTCCATGTACATTCGTTTAAATGATACTTTATTCCTTAACTTCACCATAGATCAAAATCCGTTTAACCGCGATAATTGGGTTGCAGCTAAAGATTTAATTTTAAACCGTGAGCCGGGTGAAGACCAATATGTGAATCCGATGCTTGCCAGGTTTCCTAATATGCTCAAAAGTGCTGGTGTCAGAGAAATAAGACCGCCTAATTATGTAATACGGGTCAAACACCATGATCAATCAAGTATTAACAGAAATAGAGCATTTGAATTTCTATTAGATCAAAGATCCCCCTTGAACGACTTCACTTTTATTGTGAATGGTGAGAAAATAAAAGCAAGTCGATTTATGCTTGCTTCAAGCTCGAGAGCCCTTCATAGAGAACTCACAGCGAATCCGAATAATTCGATCTCTATTCCGACTATTCAAAATATTCAACCTAACTCTATGCGTATCTTGTTACGTTATCTGTATGGTCAGGATATTGACGACGCAATTCAAAGACGAGATTCAATTAATGTTTGGAATCGTAGGACTGGGTATGAGATATATAATAATTCAAATTTGCCACTGTATAAAGATCTACTCAAATTGGCAGAATGGTTCCAATTAGATCATTTGAAGTCGCTTATGGAATTTAGGCTCTCGCGATTCGTTCAAATGTCTAATGTAAGGGATATGACAAATTTTGCAGAAACTTTGAATGCTGAGCAGCTCAAGCAATATTGCTATCATTTTATTCGCGATAATAGTGAATTGTTGTTGTAAAATATATTTATTCTCCTTTTTAAGTTTAAAAAAAAATTATTCAGACAACTTCAAATTTTTAGTAGTCAGTTGTATTCAAATCTCAAATATCAATGTAATAACAATGCTAATAAATATTGTCTTCGTAAGCCTCCAAATTTAAAGCCAATAAGCAAGACGATTAACAGAGAACTTATTATTTTTTAATATTTCCGCATGTAAACCTAATATTTGAAACTTAATGCAGATTGCTATTTTTGACATTACTTGATTATACGTCATTTATGGAGATTGAGTAAATTAATATTCTTCTACAATAGCGTTATCAATTAACCGTATATTAATAACGTAATTGATATTTGTTAAGGTATTACGAGGATATTTTTGATAATGAGACATTATCACGGTTACCGAATAAAAACTACTACAGTTATGTTTTATTATAAGCCTTAAACAAAAGCAAATATTCATTTCTTTTTCTACCCTTTCCTTTTTATATAAACAATTGCTACAAAATATACGTTAACTTTTCAATACGCCGATGTTAATAGATCAAAAGCGATCGAACCTGAAAAAGAGTTTTTTTTTGATCTTTTTTAATAGTACTTAATAACACTCTCAAAAGCATTTCTTTTCATCGTGGGGAAAATGATAAATTGATGACGAAATTCTCTACATAAGAGCCAAATTTTTTGTAATAATAACTAATCTCAAGGATCTAACTTTTAATGAAGTAAGGTTAACAATTAATGTTTGAAAATTTTGATCCTTTAATCCATCACAATGATGGAAGAGTTAAGCGGCATCAAATGATGTCACTTGTTTAAATTCACATGATTGAATTTAAAGTTCTAAAGCATTGCTTAATGGCACTCAATATTTGAGCGTCCATCTGTATTTCTTTAAGGGTTAAAGATGAAAGTTGTTTTTGTGATGTAATAATAGCCGTTAGATTCTCGTTATATTCAGAAAATTCAACCCGTTTAATGGAAGGTGCTAATGTTGATAAAGTCAACACGAATTCTTGAATGCTCAAACGACCAGTTCCACTTAGGGAAATGTTAAGCCTTTCAATATTTATGAATTTTGAACTATTGAAAATGATTTCAACCAATTCGGGTAAAGGTTTGTCATAAGAAACGCTGCTTTTCATAATTAAGACATTTTGTTACTATATTCGGTGACGAATCCAATTATTCAGGTGCAGTTCTAAATGAGATAATACCAATGTTTCGATAAAAGGGTACTTAAATAAAGGGTTTGGATCCTTTGACTTAATAGTAATCCCAAAATCTTTTAAAATTTACTTTATCGTCATCATTGGGATTATAATTCGACATAAATGTCGATTGACTAGATATTGAATTCATCTCGTAAATTTTGTATATAATAAGATAATTCAGATAAATCGTTGAACAATTTATATCAAGCCATGGTTTTGAAATAAAGGAAACAATGAGAATTTCTTATGTATACTTCTTTGTTAAACCAAAATCGATCGTATTAACAACTTGAAAATCTTCCCGAATTTTCATTGTTTTATAAAAAATAGGTAGTGCTTTTTTCTTAAATTGTGACGAATGTGTGAAATAATTTTATTTAATGTTTTATTTTCAAGTGCTTATTTAATTAAAGCTACACAAGTAGGGCAAAATTCACAATATATATGACGGTTCGAGCCGGCTCGAATTAATATTTCCGGAGGCATTTCCAATCATAAGAAACGTGAGTTCTAAAAAGCTAACATTAAAAATGACACTCTTCGTTTGAAAACATGGTTAATAGTTGACTTTTCTTTGTGTATTACTATGTTCTAAAAATCTGCTGTAGCAGATCTTCCTGCTTAAGTAGAAAGCCGATTTTCTGCCTTATAAGAATCCGCGTTTATCAAATTTCGTCAGATAATATTCTTATTACTCGCAAGAATGTCTTTTAATTTCCAAAAAAAAAAATCGATTTAAAACTATTTTTAATTATTTGTATTTTATTCTTTATTATTAAATTAAAATATTCGCAGTCATTCTTTTTTTATAAAAAAAAAGTTTTTTTTTGAATTTGAATCAAGTTAATTTTTTAATGAGATTTCACATGGTCCGTATTTCATGTACAATCTTTTATAAAGGTTATTTCCTACGCTTCCTACGTTTTTATACGAATTTCTTTTTTACCACCTTGATAAAATTTTATTGTTTTTAAAAAAAAATTATTCATATGGGACCTTTGCAATAGAAAAGGGAAACGGTTGGAAAAAAATAAAAATGGGTTATTGCTAAATCTAAACTTTTCTATTGCAAAGTCTCATAATTATTAAAATGGTTCGAAAATCCAAATCAGTTGCCCAAAAAAACAAAATTTTTAATATACAATAAGAAAAAAAGAACAAAGAAGGCAAAGAAAGAGAAAGAGTTTCGAGAGGTGAGCGTTGCTCGATTTTATTGTTATTATTTGATGTCATTTATGAGAACCTTATAGTTGATACTGAAAATGACATACTTGCGTAGTCATGCTGAGCATTGCGAAGATCACTGTTTTAATTTGCTAAATTTATTATTTAATGTTAAAAAATCCATAAATTAATAAAACTTGCAACTAGTTGTAATTTAAAGAAAATATATGATAATGCATAAATAATAACCTTAATAAAGAAATAACAATAAAAATTTTAATTGAAAATTTTTCTTTTAATTTTACATAAATGTTTAATAATAATAATAAAAGTATAATAAAGCAAAAATATTTACTAAAGCCAAAAAGGTAATAAAAAAGTTGATTTAGATGAAATTAATTATTTTAATAAATTTAAGATAATATTCTAAACATTTTCTTAAAAACAACAATGTTTATAATACATTTGGGTTAGTTTTAATATTTTTATATTAAAAGAATTAACTTTAATATTATTTCTTAATAATTAAGTATTTTTTTAAAAAAAAAATACAATAATTGTATAAAATGTAAATCATATAATTTTTCTACTGATATATATAGATATTTAATATTTTTTACTATAATAAATACTTTAAGATTCAGGCTGCATAATAAGAAAATTATAACCTAAATAATCAAATTTAATTTTAGCAATCTTAAACAATTACCTCAAAACTGAAAAAATAAAAAATATTTTTAACTATTAATTCAAGCTAGTTAAATTAGATTTAACAGTTTTTTTAAATCTATTCTGATTAGTAAGCAAAAATAATAACTAAGTATAGGTTAAAGATAAAATTATATTATATTGAAAAAATAAAAAAAATATGTAAAAGAATTTAGTTAAGGATAATATTTATTAATTAGAAATATTATAAACAAAATATTTTGTTAAAAATTAATAAAACTATATATCTTTAAATTAGTATTATTATTAATTGTATTAGTTGAGGAATAGGTTTAATTAAAATTATTATTATTCTTATATATATTGATTATTATTAACTTTGCCACTGATTTATTATTTATACATAGTTTAGGGATTATGATATACTAGAATATATCCATTAAATTAAGTAACTCAATTTTAATATCACATAATTTTTTCTATTAATATTTGCACGTTTACCAACACTTTTTTTACCCTACGTGATTTTTAGCCAGTATTACTAAACTTGGCTGAAATTATCTGTGTAACAAATAAGTGACTAATAAATTTTTAGTATACCTGAATATCGCCACATTTAATTGAATTTAAAGAAAAGAGATTAGGAGAACTTTTCAAGAAAAATGGTGAGTATAATAAAAAATAAAAAGAAACCTTAAAGTGAATTTTATAGAATAATGAGACAAGATCAAAAAAAATAAAGCTACTAAAATAAATGACATTTCAGATTAGAATAATCAAAATTCAGTAAATGGGTTGATTGCTAGAAAAATCAGGTTCCAGGAATTTTTTAGCGAAATTGAGATTTTTATTGCATTTTAGTTTTTGATGTTAGATTAAAATGTATAAGCTCTTAATTTTAGTCAAAAATTTCTCGGAACCTGATTTTTCTAGAAACACTCCTAAATGATGAAAGTATTATTAGGAAAAAAAATAAAAAAAAACCTACTACTGGAAAAAAGAAAGGAAATAAAGGTCTTGAGAGTATAGAAAATGAAAATGAAATAGATAACTTAAACCTTATTAAAGATCACAAAATTGGTAGTTTAATACCAATAGGAATAAATAAGATAATAATCGATCATAATGTTTCATTTGATTGTATAAGGATCTAAAAGGAATACCATTATAAAGCATCTGGTAATAAATTTATAGATATAATAGCATTGCATATTGCTATTAATAGATTTTGCAAACAACAGCATTCCACTTAAATTAGATATAAAAAGGCCAAAGAAAATGGTAACGTTAGTAATGAAAAAGATTTTTAGTCAATATATGAAATTAGTTCAATGAACAATCTTTACAATATTTATAATTTACATTGTAAAAAAAAATAGAAAAGTCAAATTGTTTATTAATGGGACCTTAGAAGAAATCGTTATCAAAAAAAAATTTATAATGATCATTAATCAATTTTACCAATAATGTTTTAGCAACATTTGAAGTATTTAAAAAAATCTTTTGTTTTCTCTTAGTTTTCTCATTGCTTATATATACTATAATATGCTATTATATGAAACTATCTTTAATTCCTTCATTTGATATTTTTGTATTGGGAAATACTTTCTAACTTAAATATAGTATTTCAAATTTTATATAATACCTTTAACTTTAAAAAAGGTTAGTGTATAATAAAAGGTACAGTAAAATAATATACTATGGTCAACAATAATGATATATATAATGCATTTTTTTTGAAAAAAAAAATTTATAGTTTTATAATAAGTGCAACTTTTTATAGTTATGTAAAACTTACCTATCTAATAAAAATTTATTTTCAGTTTTTCCCCTCCAAGGTATTAACAAATTACTATTGTTAATCTTATGTATCATTTCGTCATCATAAAAAGTTTTGGCACTTTTTACAAAACTATTTTATTCTTTTTTTTTATTATTATGTATTCTGGAATAAAATTTGTTCAATAGTAAAAAAAAATTTTTTTTAATTCCCCTTATGTATTACTAATTATGAATGGGATTGAAAAAATTCTTAAATAATACATATATATCTTTTTGTTTTTATAGTGAAATAAATTCAGGATTTTTTTATTCATCTGCTGAGCAATGAGAAAAACTTGTAGAATTAGAGCACAAATTTACAGATGAAAAAGTGAAAAAAATTGTTAAATTTAAAAAACAAGTATGTAGAATACTATAAAGAATTTGTTGTCATTAATCAAAAAGGAATTGATCCCTTATCATTGGATCTTCTCTGTAAAAATAGAATTCTTACATTAAGATGTATCAAGAGAAGAAATATGGAAAGGTAATCTATAATATCATATATTTCTTTTATTTATTTTATTTTTTTTAGATTACAACTTATTTGTGAAGAAGTTGTATAAAATTCTGTAAATGATTTGTTTTCAGAAGTTCTTGGATATGTAGGACTTATTTATGAGTATACTCTTAGAAAAGAAAAATATACCTTTATTAAAGAGGTTAATAATCCAAAATCTGTTACAATATTGGTTAAAGGACCTAATTCTCACACAATTGCTTAGATTAATGATGCTATCTATAATGGATTACAAGTTATAAAGAATGCAATTGAAGATAAATGTATAGTACTAGGAGCAGGAGTATTTCAAGTTAGGTTTTCAATTTATTTGAATAAATTTAAAAGTTCAGTCAAGGGGAAAACTAAGATGGAAATTCAAGCATTTGTTGATAATTCCTAAAGTTTTATCACAAAATAGAGGATTCAATGCTCAGGATACTATTGTTACTTTACAGGTGAGTTTAATCATCATTATTCAAAGAATGTTTTAATTTAAAATTTTGTGTATATGAAATGACCAAAACATATTATTGTATTATACTATTATGTAAACGAATATTTGATCAATGAGACTTTTTTTAATAGGAGGAATTTGCAACAAAACATATTATAGGAGTTGATTTAAATATAAAAAATACACTTGATCCTATCGTAAAGGGTATTTGAGATAATTATCATGTCATTCATTATATATTGCATTTTTGGTAAGATTATTAATATTATTATATTCTATTCGCAAATAAACTTTCAAAATGCTTAAACATTTAAAAAGCTTAACCTTTCGCAAAATATTTAAGTTTTTTTTTCATTTAATGCTTATTACTGCCACTCAGGCTTCTTCTATCTTTAGTATTTCCTTGTATATACTTTGTCGCTAATACTGCAATAATATAATAATAGCATTTCATTTACCAAGTGATATATGACTTTATGATATCATAAATATTGTGAATTCTATCTATCACTACCACTACTACCACCTCTACTGTCACCAAAAAAGTATTCCTCTATGCTCAGATTTCTAGTTTCAAGCAAAAAGAGAACTTTGAGTAGCAGAAGTAACTCCTCAGCTTCTAGTTCTTAACCTATAAACTCATCAGTAATATCAGGTTAAGAATTAACTTTAAATATAAAAGACTGTAAATATTACTGAAACAATCATGCGAAGGTCTTGTCAGAGAAATTATAGCTATTCACTATGATTGATTATACAAGTTCACCTACAAATTCCTCAAGCACGAATTCTCACTCAACTTTACAAAACTCGTGATTCTCTTCAACGATTTAATAACTAACAGATATGAGCTATCTGAAGATATCCTTATCATCAATGTCTTCATCTACATACTAGTCTAACGATGATAAATCGGCATCCAATCAGATCTCAATAGCCTTTCTTATTAGGCTTTGACAAGATGTCGATCAGAGAATATTTACAAATGCTGATTGTGGTCAATTAATGGCGCAAATAGGAATACAACTGGCCTAAATCAGAATGCTATATCAGAAATTTATCAGGTAACAATAGAACAGACTATTGGTAAAAATTAAAAAGAAGATTAAAATCAGAAATCTTCCAATTGATCTCAAATTTTACATCTGTAATATCAGACTTATTTTATCGTATCTTATCAGTATTCTTTATAGTAATCGATAAAAACTAATCAGAAATATCTGATTTATGTATATTTTACAGATTTTATTAATGAAATGTGAATATCATTCAATTTATTAAATCATTAGCATTATTAGCATTGGTTACGAAATGTATTCACATTTCTATAATAAAATGCTAGCGTGTAATGGATTTTATACTATTAAATAAAATTACTGTTTTTAATTTTTAATATTTGTTAATTGTTCCATAAGTAATCTGCAGTAGCTTAAAATTGTTCCTAATTTTGAACGATTAGTCTGTTTCTTTCCTCATTATCCTCAGTTTCTAACTTGTTGTCTCCTCTGTCTTGGCTGTAAATTCTCCATTGAATTTCCCTCTTTTGTGCTTGTTGGTCTCAGCTGTAAATCAACATTTTCGTCATCATTTATATCAAGTGGCTTCAATCGTTGGGAAAGTGTATTTGATGATCGCTTGCTATAAGCCTTTCTGACAGCTATCTTTAAAGAACCTTTGTAATCGTCAATTGTTCACTTAGGAGCCTGAAATGGTGCTGTGGGTTCCTTGTCATGTGTATTAACGTTATCATAATATGGGTTCATTTCTTCGGGATCTTAGATGATTCTGAAAATATACGATTAACATAATCCCGCAAAAATGATCGTAACTATAAATAAAATTAAGAAAAAATTAGTTTGTAAAATGATAATTAAAAGCTTAATTTAAACAACATTCATTTATCTCACTGTCATTGAGCGTCATTTCAGATCCTTTACAACAATCTTCCTTTTATCAGAAGGATCATCCTCGTCAGTTTCAGAAATCTTAGCGAGTGATATGCAGAATCATTTTTAATTGGCTGAAGTTCACTGTCCTTGAACATTTGAACCAATGGATCATTGATAATTCTCAAGTGTTCAATTGTATTAGTCTGATTTTTTCATTTCTGTAATTATTGAGTATAATAGAATTATGAAGAATAAAAAGAGTCAAATAGGATTTTTTCGTTAATTAAAATTATATCATTCCTTCGACTATTTGAATGCTTTCGTTTGGCCTGTTCGTCTTGGAAGGTTGTCTTTTCAAATATTCTTCGTGCTGATGATTATGTCGATTGTGAATCATATCATATACAATAGTCTCTACAATCGGAAACGTATCTGAATCCAAAGCTTCCATAACAGCCGAAACTATTGTATCTTTTACGAGACGACGTTGATTATCGAACATCTTATCCAATTTCAATTGACTTTCAGAAGGTAACCTTTCAATTATCTAAAAAACTTGACGCTAAATATAAAAGTTATACCATTAGTGCATTAGTATGTATATAAATAAAGTGAAAGTAATGAAAATTCACTTACCCTCAAGGCTTCCTGGAGATCATCAGATAGGTCTGTCGATTTTAGATACTATGGCATTCTAATATCTTCATCCTGATCAGGACTAGAACATCTTGAATCAGATCTTAAAAAACTAGAGCTTTTAGATCTTTTATTTATTTTCTTAGAAACTAGCCATGGAGAACTAGTTCTTTCTCTAAAAGCCGACTGTGAATAATGGCTTTGTATACAATCATAGTCACTATTTATTTTTGATAAGTCATTATTCTTCTGAGTTATTTCGGGTAAGCATAGAGGAGGAATATCTTCTGATTCTGGTTCTTTCATTTTAGTTTTTATGAACTCTTTGAACATATCAAGAATTTCAACATCTCGTAAAGGTAAATTGACCGGATCTGAAAAAGTTGTAAACAAATCTGCATATTCCGATTGTGACACATTAATTTATGTAAATATGCATATCAATTAAATTTATACCTTTTTCTGCCGCTTTCTCTTCATTGTTTTTTCTTTGGTCAGTAGTTTTAGGTGATTTTTTATATTTCCTATCTGATTCTGAGGAGTCAGGCGATGAAAGCCTATACCAATACCATCTTGTAGATAATCATTTAGTATACTATATGGATGAATCGAAAAATAAATATTGATATAACTTACGGGTTATGGTTAGTATGCTTTTCAATAGAAAGATATTTATCTTTATTTCTTCTGCTTTTTGACTGTCATTTATCTCTCCTATAACCGTGACTTCTCGAGCGATACCTATCCCTGCCTCTATGGTCGTAGCTTCTTGATCGATGCTTGTTCTGGTCATGTTTCAAATGAGAACTTTTGCCAGAGCGGTGAGTCATAATTAATAATGGATAATGTCAAACGGTGCTGTCAGTATTTCTGTTCAAATATTCGAAATTTTGGATATTTTTATTTTTTGAATAAATTTTAATCTTCAATCATTTATAGCATAAAATAAAATAAAAAAAAAAGAAAATAGTCATTAAGGAATATTGAGAGAGAAAGAGAAGATAGAGTTTTTTTTTTTTTTGCTTTTCATAAAGAGGCTATATATTTATATTTTTTTTTATATATCAGTAGATCAAATTAAAACAATAGTAATAAATAGTATAATGATAATGATAAATGGCGTGTGATGGTGAAATATCACTTGATCAAAATTTTACTTTCCGACTTGTATTGTAGTTTGATTTTTTGTTAATAAAAAAATAATTGTCCAATTTTCGATTAAGCTTTGGATAATGCTAAATTTAAATACCGATAAGTTGTATACGTGTATATACATATACGCGTTTGTTTGTTTTATTGTATGCTAATTAGTTTCTTTCTGATTCTTATTTATGTTTTTAAAAAAATGTATAAACAAGCAAAAAGGGAACGATCAAGTAAAGAGCCAGCAGCACCAGTAACTACTAAAGTTACAAGAGTTCGACCAAAAGTACCATGTAATTGCAAATAATGTAACGGTAAACTGGTCGAAACAAGAACAAGACAAAAACACGAAACAGAGGAAAATCGGCTTCAAACTTCGATTAACAAAATGAAGAAAAACAAAGAAAAAGAAGCCAACCATGTTTCTGAGTCAAGAAATCGTCCAGATGAAATTCAATCGATTTTTGATGATTTTTCTCAAAATATCTGTAATGTTATAATAGACAGTTTTTCTTGTGATAACGAAGTTCTAATGATCGATAATGATCATTACCAATCTGTTAAAGTTACAAGACTAGCTGGTATTAGAAAAAGAGAAGAAAATATGACTAATTTCGTAGGGTGAATAACGAAATGACGGTAATTCAGGATGAAGTACTTGAACAAGAATCCGGTTCATCTGGTGATGAAGAGAATTCTCATCAGCCGGTTGATGATGAAGATGATGAAATATTTTTTGATAATGATAATGATAATATTCTAGATGATTTATTTACAACGCCTGGTTCCAATAATATTAATCACGATTCAGATAATGAGAATCTTATCGCGAATATTGATATAGGTGATTTGTGGATTCTCCTTTGAATATTTAAATATCAGGAAAGGTTTAAACTTTCTGATGTTGCAATTAACTCATTAATTGGTTTCATTAGCCTTATTTT